ACACACCTGCGGATGGTTGCCTCATTATCTGAGGACTCTTAAGCTGCTGACTGCCACTGCCTCAATGCCAGAGTGTTTGCCAGTTTTGGGTACTCTAACAAAGCTGAGTTTAGCAGAGTCTAACTGAGTCTTTGTCTCCCTGAGCCTAACCTTATTGTTTTTTGTCTTTGCCTCTCTGCAAGAAGTCTTCCTGCAAACTGGATGTTTTGGCCTTCTCCCCCTGGAAGGATCGTTTGAGCCTCACACAGAGCAGGGGATAAATCTCCACACGAACCGTTCAAGTACTTCTGGAAAATTAAGTGACAGTCAGCTCCATCGCTCCTCAGGAACCAACCAAACCCGAGTAAACCCTGTCCGCCCTCCAACGAGTCAACCAAGTTCAGAAATAACCCACACAGACTGGATTCTGGGAAGGACACCTTTTCCCTGGAAACGTGAGTCCCGTTTCAGTCTCTGTTTTTGCAAGTCGTCGCTCAAGTTTCCCACTGAGCCTGAACTAAACACTGAACTTCCCTTCTCACTTCCAGTTCTGGTTCACCAGTTTTCTGAGAAACTCAGATGATCCAACTCATCGTGTTTTCAATAAACTTGCTAAACCTTTTCTCTGGTTCTCTCAGTGGTTTCCTGCATGTGGGTCAGATCCCTTAAAAAGAACATGACAAACGTGTTCACATGGTCTACACAGGGTCATAAAAAAAGCAAATGGGAAAATAATTAGAAGAAAATGTGAAACATGGGAAAACCTTTTGGGACATGTTCAATTTGTAATCTATACACATGTGAAATAGGTTTGAATGCTATTTTACACTGAGGTTTACATGCATAGGACAGCATGATACAGTTTCCATCTTTAAAACAAATGATTTCAGCATAATTGGTATTTTTACGGCAGAAATGCATAAGATCATTTATTGTTATATAATACAATGTCCACATAAGAAACACATTTATTCACCTTATGACACCATGTAATTTCCTAATGTGAGACACACCTTGCAACAAAGTTTTCTCCGGGTACTCCAGCTTCCTCCCACAGTCCAAAAACATGACTGTTAGGTTAATTGGCTTCTCTAAATTCTCCAAAATTCTCCAGCTGTCTCTCGCCCATAGACAGCTGCAGATAGGCACCAGCACCCCTTGCGACCCCACTTGGGATTAAGCGTGTCAGAAAATGGATGGATGGATGGATGGATGGATGGATGGATGGATGGATGGATGGATAAACATGTGAGATTTGGTATTTACTTCCTATGATATTACAGTGATGGTAACAGAAAGTTTTTTTTAGTATCTCCAGATCCTGATTATAAAGCGATCTCATAGGTTTGAGTGCTGTCTCGTTGGCCTAAGACAAACAGGACAAACAGTAGGTGATTTATGTATGCAACATATGCTTCAATTGTTAAGGTAATTCTGATATGTCAACATGATGATAAATTATATCTGGTTGAGTTATAGAGTATTTTAATTTGCTTTTTAATGTTCAGGGTTTGATCTAAATTATTCCCTATATATTTGATATGTGTTTAGGAGAATTTCTAGCTAAATAATTTGTTTCTTATATTTTTGATAATTTCATGTGATTAACATCGAGTAAAGACAAAACTAACAAGATGGATTGAATAGAACGCTATGCTGACATGTCTGGGCCTTTATTTATAAAGCTAAAACAAGCTTTGTCTCTTTAAGGGTTGAAACTCTAAAATAACTTGAACGTTCATGTGTTTTCTTATATGCTCATTATATTGTGATTACCAAAATATGACCAAAAATAATTTTGGCGGCTAATGTTTAGCTCATTCAAAGTAGGGTAAAGCATTAATTACTTAAAGGTATTGGTTCCTGATTAAGCAAATAATTTAATAAAACATTATTTGGAAAAAAAAATATTTTTTATCCACCTCATGGATTTTCATTGTGAATTGGTTTGAAAACATTCCAATTGTTCTAAATTATTTAAAAGCTAATTTAACCTCATTCCAAATTCTTCAAGATAAACTTTGGTTCTCAAACACTAAATCCATGCTAAACTGTGATATCATTGCGTCATCTCATTGATTATGATTAACAACCATCTTTTTTGTTCCTTCTACTTTGAACATAGTAGCTTAGTTTAAGTCGAGTTTTGTTAGTTTTTAATGAAGAGTTTTTAACTGAAATATGTGTGACTTGGAGCTGAGTGATTGTTGTTCTCAAACTCTTTTTTTATGGAAGCTGTGGTTAATTTATTCCATATATTTGCAGAATTATCCATTTGATCATGATTTGAGCTCGATTCACACGTTCATATTTTTGTTCTAACACACACCCAGTAGGGCATGTGTTAATAAACAATATATTACAGTCCAAGATTTATCTGATTAAATAACATATTTACTACCACTACTGGGGTGGGCAATAAATATATTAGTTGCACAACAGTTGCAAATGGTGCACCCCTAAATACTACATGTTATGATTTCCCCAT